GCCACTTTATCCTCCTGTGGTCCTAGACCATTACTTTCTATGGAGCCCTTGGTATCAGCTCCTCTCCTCCAACCCCCCACCCCCGCCCCTTCCATGACCTCTTGTTAGAATATAAATTATTATTCTTTTCATATCTCACACCACCGTCTTTCTCCCTTCTTCCATGGTTTCTGTTGTTCTTCCCCCCGGAGGAGGGCCTCTGATTGTGTGTCAATCATTATGATCGGTTACTCCTTTCTCCCATTCTCTCCCCACCTTCCCACTATCCTTCTGGTCTCGCTATTCCCAATCCTGCTCCTGGATTCCATGTGTCATGATCTCTTTTTTTTGGAGTGTGTGTGTGTCATGCTCTCTTATCTCTTACCTATACCTGCCTACATGCTCGTGTCTAGTCCAAAGTGAGAAGCAGCACTGGGGTCATAATAGTGGGTGGGTGAGGAAGCCTCAATAAACCAGAGGAATATTGTGTTTCATCAGCACTTTACTGTACGCCGATTGACTCATCCCTTCCTTGTGACCCCTCTATAAGGGTATTTCCCATTGTATACACATGGGATTGGGTCTCTGTTCCAACTCCCCTTGTTCTCAACAATATATTTTTGTTTGTTTGTTATGAGTCTTCTAATGCCTGTTACCTGATGACACTTCCTGATCGCAAAGGCTGGTGTGCTTCTTCCATGTGGGTTTGTTGTTTCTCTGCTGGATGGCCACTTATTTCACTTCAAGCCTTTAAAACCTCAGACGTATATCTTTTGGTAGTTGGGCACCATCCCCCTTCCTCACCACATCTGCTTATGCACCCATTTTGTCTTTAGCGATTATACCACGAGGGGGGGCATCACAGAATGACAGTTTGTTAGAAAAAACAATTATTTTATTATGGGAGGGTATGAGCAGCGGCTTGAAGTCCGTTCACTACCTGTTTATTGCATATAAATATATGTACATAGGCAAATACCTCTATTTTTATGGATTAATGTATTAACATATGGACACAGCTTATACCTCTATCAATAGCTTTGCTTCCTAGGTCATTCCTCTGTTTCCTTTTACCTTCCTCCTGCCCCACCATCATGCCCGCCTGTATTAGTCTAGGTACTTTGGAGAAACAAATCGACAGCAACTCATATATAAGAGAGAATTTTATGTAAAGAAAAGGTACATCACGAAAACATCCCAACCCAATACTGCCCAAGCCCACAAGTCCAACATTAACCCATACCCAACACCAGTCCACAAAGTCCTCCACCTCACAA